GAGGGAGGGAAAGTATATGGCAAATAAAATACCCACAGAAAAATTAGTCATATCAAAATGCTTTTGCAAAGCATGACTTTTCTCAGCTGGATCTTTCCTACCTCTGTAGAAACCACGTGAACCTCCACATTGTAGGAACATAAATAAAACCAAGCATGAGACTAATCCAACGGGCTGGTTTCCCTCATTAATCTCACCAATTACATGAGGTTGCATAGATGTTTGGATTTTTTTTCCCCCTCTCACTGTTGAATTGTATTAGAGGGTATAAAGACTAGGCGGCCAGTATTTTATTTACATTTATATTTTACATTGCCTGAAGTTGTAAAGAACTTTAGAGTGACTCAGTCAGTAGGAAATGGTGGTGAAAAGCTGGGCGTGTTTAGTAACAGAGCAGCGAATGGCTCAGAGCCTAACTTGCCTGTGTACTGCACAGTACTAAATGCCTGGCTTCTTGTGGAGACAAATGGAATTACTGTCACCATCATGTGTAAACGGCTTACTGCGTCGAGGGACAGCAGGGAAATGCAGGATAGGAGTCTGGGAATGTGTGCATTTTGCATAGGGTTTACTTAACTTATGGTTAGCTAAAGGTAAACAAAAAAGGTCTTTCCTGGCTGCCTCCTTTTTTCATCCACTCACTCCCCCTCCTTCATTTTAAGGAATATCTTCTCCACTTTTCTTCTCTCCTTCTACAGCTTCTGCATTACTTCATTTTTACTATGTGTTCTCTTTCAAAGAAAATGTTTTCTTCTCCCTTATTCCACATTATCTGTTCTTTTTCCTATAGCAGACATCCATTTCCACCTCCTTCCTTCTAACAGGAGCCATAGTTTCTAGGCTCTGTTTCTTTGTGTGATGAAGGTGTCTCCTCCAGGCCTCTTCTGGCCACTTGCCAGCATTCAGTAATTTTTTTTTCTGCATCATAAATGGTTGTGATACTCTTATGCTGTCCCACACTGCTACCGTCTCTTACCTTTATTCCCTTACTGTGCAAAGGACCTTGAGTACAGTATTTAGGCATGTCTTTTCACTGCCCAAGCCCCACAGATGCTGACTGTGAAGCTCCAGACACAGTGGATTAGGAGCATGGCTGACTTCATCAGTATTTCAAGCTGATTTCTTAATACTGAAACAATGAACCTATGTTAATTAGTATTATCACTCACTGACATGTGTACTCCCTTAAAGATGTTCATAGGTACGTACAGAATTAATTAACTTATGAAAATATAGCTTTTGTCTGGTCTGCTGTTTCACTGAGCTGATCTGCTCTGAATTCATGACTTTCCTCTGTTCAGTGACCCTATTTCCTTGCACATTTCTTGCAAAATTCTTGTCTTTTATCAGGAATTACTATATTATACTTGAGCCAAATAACCTGAAATGTTTTTACAGGGCATACATTGTACAGTTTTGATAAGCAGGGGAGTGTTAGCTTTCATGCCAAACAACTTTGGGATGTGGATGGGATTTTCATGTCAGCTGAAACCTGCATGTGGTCCTTGGAGGTTAGAGACTCTCAAACTGACATAGAGTAAGCATCTGTATATATTTGGGCATTACCCACACTGCTGGGGAAATGGGCTGGACAGGTAAAAACACGTATCAGAAAAGAGGTGAGAGTATGGTAATGCAGAACATAATGTCTCAAGTATTTGTCTTCTTAGTGGGAAAACATTCTCTTGAATAAAATTCACATTTTTCATTTCTTATCTGTTTCCCTAAGAAGTCCATGCAGATGCAGGCTGGATTCATTCCAATTTGCGGCTGTGGACATGATTTTACTTTCTCCTAGGACTGAAGTGACCTTTAGTGTCTCTGTAGCAAGCTTTTTGTTGGGCACACAGAAGAGTTTTCCTCACTGTTTACCCTCAGGACGATGTTGTCGTCTAGTATGCTTAAGCATGTCCGCTCTCTTTCTTATATTTGCACAGCTTTCTTTAAAGCTAGTACTTTGAAAGGCCTGTTCCTCCATGTTGTTTCAATATTTAGATAGGAAATACCTGGTGTTGCCTTTTGGAGCGACGTACCTGCTGCCTGCCCTTCTGTTCTCACCACCAGTTTTGGCATTGTGAATGGGGAGCAAATTGGCAGCCCAGTAAGAAACGTGAGCTATTGCTTTACTCACATGGCTTTTATTTTGTTTTCAAGAGGTTGAAAACAGTTATACAGATCAGTTCTGTCGATGATTTCTTTTTCTTCTGTTGCTCTCGAAATCCAGCCTGTCCTTTCCATAATGTTAGTAGAGCAAAGGTAACAACCAAAATAAATATTTCCTCATCTTCTCTTTCAGATAAAATTGAAGATGAATTAGAAATGACTACAGTGTGCCATAGACCCGAAGGACTGGAACAGCTTGAAGCACAAACCAATTTCACTAAAAGAGAACTTCAAGTGCTTTACAGAGGATTTAAAAATGTAAGAATGACCCTGCGGTGAACCGCGTCTAGTGTGCGTGTCCCCAGCAGCCCCAACGGCTCAGCTGCATTTTGTCATTCCCCTGCTAAACATTCGTAGTGTTGTACCTGGATCTCCACTACCACAGCAAAATGAGCGCAGTCTGCCTTTCCATCTAATATTTATGACACCATAATCTGCCTAAAACAGGGTTTGGATGAATATTCAGCACATAATATTCTCATTAAATTTGTTTCCCAAATGTCAGTAAGGACGCTTCAATTTCCTCAACAGTGCCAGTACTTCAAGATAACCTGACAATATTTTTATGGTTACTTAATTCTTGCTGTCAGTTCCTCATGTTTAAATATAAGTGGTCCTGTTTGGATGTGATTAGCTGCCCAGAGTGGTTTTTTAATCTTTGCTGTAGCTGGAGAAATCTTGCTCTTGTAGTAGGATGTTATTAGAGCACATTAGGACTATAAAATAAGGAACAAAGCTGGAATGGTAGCAGCCAAAAAGAAATCAGAAGTAAACGGGTATGAACACTGAGGAGACAAGGGAGAGGCTACAGACTTAGGTGAAAGCAGAAAATATGCTCGTCTTCATGACCCACTATTCCAGCCATGTTCTCCCTGGTGTCAGGGAGTCTATGGCTCCATGAGCCTTGGCTTCTGGGACTCATAATAAATAGGAAATTTTGAGGCTACATGGAGCAGATGTTTTACGGCTCTTGAAGAGGCCCTAGAAGAATGAATGCTCATTACAGGGTTGCCTGAGGGTCTGAATTTAGTCACCCTGGCGTTTTGTGCCAGATGATCAGCTGAAGTTTTTATGATTAATAGAACAGTGTCAAGCTAGCCAAATAAGTGTGAGTTTCAAGTTGTCTTGCGGGACAGCTCCCGCATTTCAGCTGCTGTCACAGTAAAAAGCTGAATTTTCTTGGAAAGAGAAAGTCAAGTCTGTTGGGCAAAAATTTGCCAAAACAAAGATGAGCTACCTTAAATACAGACAGTGTTGAGGGGAGCCTGTTGGACGTCGAGAAGGGCCTTTTTTTTCCCTAGATTGTATAATTGACTTCTTCACCTAGTCTGGCGGTTTCGTCCTTCTCACCTGAGAGAACAAGGTGCAGCTCAGCTTTCTATATCTTTCTGCTTGGCTCACGTGCTGTATGTTTACAGCCTTTGCTTGCACGCAGGATGTCATTTCATGTGTGAGGCTGAAACCTGTTCATGCTTTGGGCAGTCAGCAAGGAATCATATGGCTTGTAAGACAGGTTAATGTACAATACAATATGTCATGACTGCCTCCAGTGAAAGACTAAACTTGGAGAGTTCTCAACCACTGTCTTTTGCTGCGGTCTCTGGGATGCCTTCTGTGTTGCTGCGTTTGGTGGGAATGCTGTGTGTGAGTGCTGCTCCATGCCGAGGGGTGGAGCTGGCTCTGCCAGCAGCTGCAGCACAAAGCAGAGGCAGCTTCGCCGCTCTCTCTGCAGACAGGACTCTTAGCCCTTGCCCCTCCCCACTTTGCTGTCGCTTTGCAGTACAGGGGCATTACCTCCCAGGGCAAGAATGACAGACAAGTGCATTAACTTGTGACCTAAACCATTTCCTACAACCTCACTGGAAGTCCTGTTATTAAGTGGTGGGGCTGGCAAGTTCTTGTTTTCTACCATGTTGTTAGGACAAAGCCGTCTGTGGTTCTCCAGCTGCTGTGCACACTATTTGCATGAAGCCGTAATGTCTAAGGGCTGAAATGAAACGAAAGGGCAGCTTTAGCATTGGTAGCCTGTAAATCAAGGTTTCAATGGGATGAGTAATTATGCACAGCAGGCAAACTGCCTCAGCTGTTGCCATGTTCGCTGTCCTAGCGAGCCGTCTGCTTTTGGGGATGGTGTTACAGTGCCATCTGGAGATTCCAGATCCTGTGGGAATACAGTCGTTTCCCTCTTCCTGCCTTGTACTTACTGCTTGACTTGGCGAGCATACAGGTCCTGTCTGATCACGAGGCAGCACCTGGGTCACCTCAGAGCCGTTTCCAGGTGCTGGTAACGGAGCAGAATGTGGCCCCGCTCAGCCTGGCGGCACTCACAGGAGCTGAGGGTTCCATGCTCAGGAATGTGGATGATGTTTGACCAAGGGGCAGTTCAGTGCAGCCTGAAGTAGCCTCTAGACTACACCCCTGGCTGACCAGGGTCCTAACTCTCAGTACCTTTATTCCTGGACCCAGACTGGTATGACTTCTTTGGCTGTGCTTCTGCAAAAGCAAGGTAACAGAGATGTCAAAAACCAGAACCTCTCTGGTGGGTCTTGCTTTGGTTTAACTTAAAATATAATGTGGTACCTCATGTCTTTAAATACATCAGGAGAGAAAATTGTTCGATCCAAAAGGCAGTATTGGCATGGGAACAATGAATAGGTAGGAATTAGAAGAAAGGTTCCACTCCCCAGAGGAGTAAAGTTTTGGGAACAGTTATGGAATGGGAGAGGGAGGAGAATAAGAATCTATTTTTAAGTTTAAAATTAATAAATCACTAACGAAGTGACCGCCAACGAGAGAGGTTTGAGCTCAGTAATTCACTACCTCCCATTTAGACCATGTTTCTAATGACATGCATTCTTTGGAATTCAGTGCATGGATTTAAAAGGACTGGGATTTTTATAGGATTTTTTTCTCAATTTGAGGGGACTTGTGCTGTTAGGAGAAATGATTGTTAGCTGAAAGGGCTAATTTTCTAGTACTAAATCGGAAAACAGATAACCCACATAACTGAGGGATTGTTAGAGACAGTCTTACCTTGTTTTAACATGGGTACTTTATCAAATCTGTTGTGTAGTATGAGAGATAACTATCTGTAAAAAATAAGGTGTTTGGAGACTCAAGCAAGCAGTATGAGCAAGGTAAAAACATTCTGATACTTCAATAATCCCACCAATATCCCCAAACTGGGAGACAATAGTAAGAACAACAAAATATGTGGGATGCATGAATGTTTAGAGATACAAATCTGGATTGTGAATCCTGAAGGAGAACACATTAGAGTTTGCCTGTGGTCAGCTAACTTAGTGCCTCCAGTTTCACAAAATGTGAGTCCTCAGAGAATTCATCTTCATGTTCTGATCAAGTTAGCTGAGAACATTTTCATGGATAGGTTGTGTTTGGTTCTGCTGATTTGTGTTTGGTTCTGCTGATTTTTTTCCCCTGCTTGTTCACATTACACATCTTTGAAAGCAATGAAGTTAATTTCTGATTCCAGCAGAAGAAAGGACAGCAAGTGCAACTTTTGTTTGGTTTTCTTTTGGGTTGCTTGGTTTTTGTGGGGCTTTGTTTGTTTGTTGTTTTTAATGTGGATTCGGCTCCTCTATGGTTCAGTGTTTTAAAAGAAGTGTGAGAGGGTAAAACTAAACTTTGGACTCATGCTGTCAATGCCAATGCTCGATAGCTTTTGAAAATGAAGGGTTGTTTCTATGATTGACCATACCAAAAAAAAAAAAGTTCATTGTTCTTGTGAGACATTTGAAAAGAATTCATAGGTTAAAGAAATGAGAGGTCTTTACCTGAAATCTAACCCCCTGCCATCAAATGAAGGCCTTATGAATGTCATATGAAGGGCCATATGCTTTTTCATACTGCCAAGAGTTTTTTTTCCTGAATGAGGAAACCTTTGTTATCTTTAGTGGAATTTAAACTGATGCTAAGCTTACCTGCTCTTTTTCACAAGAGAGATTTTTTTCGAGTCAGCTGAACTAAGTAGTACTGTAGCACTAATGAGGCCTCTTGAGCATTATTTGACTCTTATAAAACCAAAATTGTGATCAATTAAGTGTAAATGAATTGGTACCAGCATATGTGTCTGAAAGCAGTCCAGTTACAGAGAGCTAAACAGGCTGATCAATGCCAGCACTGCCTCTCCCCAGCACTCCTGGAGGTTTGAGGCAAATTTGGCTTCCAGATGGAGCATCAGAAGTAATAAGGATCATGTGCAATTTTAGCAAACTTAATCAGGCACAATGGCCAAAACAGCTTCTGGAGACCTTGTATCTGTGAGGAGAGTGCAGCAGCAGCCTGCCCTTCACAGGCTTAAACTTCATTCTCGGGGTCGCTGGTGGTGGGCTGAGGCTCTTAGTAAACACGGGCCATTACCACAGTGTGGAAGAGACCCGAGGGACACTGCAGGTGTGGGAAGTGTGGAGAAAATATTGACCTGCTCCTACATTTATAAACTGCCTTTAAACATCTGAAGCGGTGATACTTAGTGAATGTAATAGTTGTAATTATCAAGGTGAGAGAAAGAAATACATCTTCACTTAGTGCACTTGGCCAGTAGCACTGTGCTGGAAAGGATGGGGTAGTGCTGCGCTAAGCTTACTTTTAAAAAGAATGACAATTTAGTCAAATACTCTGAAGTCCTGCAAAGGCCCAGAGAGAGTCTTGGAGCAGCAGCACTCCTGTGACCACGGAGAAAATTGCTGCCCGAGAATGGCTGTTGATGAAGTACTTGGTCTGATCTGTGATAAAAGATACCATAAATAAATATCAGATTATTTAATATATACTGAATTGCAAGCATTGCAAACATGAATTTTTGGAGAATGCTTTTATGGTACCAGTTACCAACTATTAAGTATTTTTCTTTTAATGATTTCTAACTTATTAGAAGGGGTACAAACAGATGAAAAAGGAACCATTTCTCTCATGATGAAGAAACCAGACAGTGGCTGTTTAACTGAGAGATTTGGAAGGTTTTGAGGATACTCATCTAACCGGGAACTTTGTCATAAAGAATTAGAAAATGTTGTTAGCTGAGTCTGTAAATGAAAAAACAAAGTCTTCTTCTGCAGCCACTGGCTTTAGATAGTGCAGCTGGTCTTTTTATTCCCTTGCTATGGAACAAGCCTTGAACACTGATGCTGAACACTGGAGAAGGGGTGGGATGGGGTCCTCCAAGGTCAAGATCACAGTGCCAGCTTTGGGGTTTAATTGGGACACTTAAACATAACCAGTGAAAGGACAGCTGTCACGACATGAAGACATAGAGTAAAAATTAACTGTAGGGCTATTCAAACAATAAATTATCCTCTAGTTAGCTCAAATCTCTCCCAAATCACTGATGTTTTCTACTCAAATAGTGGGTAGAAGCCAGAAAGATTTCTTCTGTATTAGAGGAGGGAACTCAGATTTAATCACTTAAACTTCAGTAGCAAACAGATATGTGATTAAGGAACTGCCTCACTGTCACCTGAGGTATCCCTCCTTGCTCTCCTTCCCTGACTTGCACAGGATAAAGTGATTTCTTTTGTTCATTTTGTCCTTCTCCATGGTTAGTAAATGCAAGAATCAGCAGCAGCTGAGGCTGGCAGATCAGAGGCTTGAAAAAAAATGCCTTTTTTCTTTATAGGCTTTTCATGGTGGAAGAATTTCTTGTCAAAGTCCTTTTTGTTCTTAAAAGGTATTTAAAAAACTCCTCGATAAATAAGTCAGAGACTTGGATCTTCCTCCAGCTTTCTGTGTTGCCAGTTCAAAGGGATTTTCTTAGACTCCCTGAGTTTGCTCATCTCCAGATGCAGAGCATCTGTGAGGCTACGGAAGCTCTGGGCCGCTGATAGTGTATAGCAATAGCAGTACTGGCATCTGCCCTGCTTTGCAAACCTACCTCGGGCCGTAACACATACTCCCAAGCCTACTCTTTAATGAACTCCAGGCCAAACAAGGAATTCTAGGCAGATGAGGGGGATTTCTTCTGCCCCAGGAGCATCGTGTGGTGTAGCAAGCATATTCCAGGTAGCGTCCTGTCGCACTAGTGTGTTTGGATGTACAGGCTCTGCTCTTTGAAACTTGGATGTGTTCACCCCCTACCTTGCTCATGCTACTGCAACATCTCAGTCTGTGCAGCTGTGGCCCTCTTAGATGTGTTAGTGCAGAAGGATAACTCTTAAATGAATTTCCATCACTTCAGAAGGTAAACCAGGAGGAAAATCTGATAGGCTGCCTGGAAAGTAGCCAGGCTTAACCAATAGACTGGATTAGCCTTAACATTATTGAAAAGATGTGAAAAACAGTTGTCTCCAATAATTCCAGTTAGAAGTTATTAGGAAAAGAACAGAGAAACAGGGAGAGAACATGGTTATGCTGCGGGACAAGTAAGCAGTGTACTGGCATCTCAAACATGGCTCACAGTCTGAGGCTGCTGTCTCAAAAAGAGCACCATGGAAAGAGGAAGATGCAGAGAAGAGATGGCCAAAGCATGCTCCATGCCTCTTGTGCTTCTTAGGGTGTGGTGCTTCAGCCTGGAAAAGAGAAAACAAAGGAAAGAGCCTCAGAGTTGCAAGTGGCAGGGTAAGAGAGTGTCCAGATGGACTGCTTGCTCTCTGTCTCCATGCAGGTGCTCAGGGCTATCAGCCAAGGCAGTGGGAATCAGGTTCCCAAAACTGAAAGCTGGTGATTCCTTGTGCAAAGGAATATAGGCCGGTGAAGTTCCTTGCTGAAGGACCTGTATTAAAATGAGACAGCAATCCCAGCGTGACACAGGAGGAAGGAGGCATGGAGTGAGTGTGAGCTTTATCTCAAATCTGGCCTTCAGTTTAATCATGAGCATCAAACCAAGATGTACACACCAGTTTCATGAGGGTCTGTGTTAACCTACTCAGATAATGCACCTTCATGTCCTGCCAGGAGTGGCAGGGCTCTTGCCCACTCCTTCCTCCCTGTGACACACCACCTCAGCTGGGGCTGAGGAACTGAACTTGCTGCAAGTAGGGTCAGACACCTGCAAGGGACAGACCCACGGTGTCTCCTGCAAGGGACTATAACCACTACAGTGAAGCTAAATTTGTTCTTGAATTTTACTTGAATTGTCCAATTGTTCATTTGAAAAAAATTGAAAGTAAAGAAACAGGATTCAAAAAGCATAGACAGTTCTTGCATCGTTTTTCACCAGTCTTGTTGTGTGGTCCTGCATCCTGCTGGGTGAGAGAAGTTTACAGAACTCAGTTCACAGAAGACTGAGCAGATAAACAGATAAATAAATGATCTAATTTTTTTTCAGCCTAATACTACTGCTTGTTTGTAAGGACTTGCTATTATAGTATGTACCTACTGCTAGCTCGCATGGAGCTGGTGCCAGGTGTCTGGCTGCAGTCTGCTGAGGATTAATGAATTCATGTATGTGGGGGGCATCAGACAGGGAAGCGTTAGCTGGCACTAACACTCTCCGTAATTATTAGATGGAAGCTTCACATGACAAAGTATGAGCTGCCTTTTTAGGTCATCCTATACAACATCGATTCAACACTGCTGAAAACACTGTTAGGAATGTTATTAATAGTGAATCAAGTCTATGAGATGCTTAAGATGAAATTGCAGTCTGAATTATTTTAATTTCTTCAGCTGCGCAGCCTTGTGCATCCAGAGCACTGTGAGAACAGGAATGTGATTTGTTTAATTGCTCTCTTCGGGCTTGTAGGGGTTTGCAAACGAACCTTTACAGAGCTGGGGGCTTTTCCTGGTATTTATTTTTTTTCTTTCTTTTTTTTATTTTCCAACAGGAGTGTCCTAGTGGGGTTGTTAATGAGGAAACGTTCAAACAGATCTACGCACAGTTTTTTCCTCATGGAGGTAAGTGGAGCACTTTGCGTCTGTTGGGTGTTTTGAAGTGTGCCTTAACGTTCCTCACTGCAAAGTTTGCTGCCTGCAAAACTGCTCCAGATAACCTGTGCAAGAAACCTGAACTGAGCTTAAGCTTTGCAGGATCTTAAACAGTAACACAGCGTCAAAGTAATAGAACTAGGTTAGGCCCTTTGAAGAGCTGTTTCATAAGAACACAGACCAACCCACATTAAAGATTGCCCCTAGGTGTCAATTCTTTATTCCCCAAGTCCAAAATAGAAACTAGGGGTTGATGCTTCTTTTGTGCTGACTTTCTGGACTGCAGGACACTAAATCCTTCCCCTCTGTAGGTCTTTGCTTCCCTGCTTTTGGGTGGCTCTGCATGTGGTATTTAGCACAGAAGTGTCCCAGAACTGATTTTGGCCTGAAAATGAATCAAAACCTTCTTAAAATTCTTAGAGCAGTGGTTAGTTGATGTGTGAACTCCTAGTTACATGAAATAATCATTTTTGGTGTTTGTGTGACTAAGACAGCGTTGTGTCATGTATTGAAATGTTGAAGTATTAAACCTCTCAAATAATCTGTTTTCTCACCTTTTAAAAATATCAAGAATCTATACATTCTTCTAACTGGCTGTGTTCTGTGGGGATACTGTTCTCAAATTGGAAGAAGTGAGTCATGGGTTTAGGTAGCATTTGTAAAAGATTCAGTATTTGAGGCTTTTCAAGTATATTCCACTCTGGTAGCTGCAGAATATACCCCTTGTGGAACAATGACTGAAGTTTCTGTAACAGTGCATGTGTATATGTGTGGTTACTTTAAAAATGTCATTAAAAAATGTTTTTTGAACTACATGTTAAGCTAAAGCACATTATTCTTGTGTTTTACAATGGACATGACCTCAAAGATGTACACTTATTAAAAGTTTACATTACATTTTAGCATGAACTTGATGATTTCCTATTGTGGTTGTTTTTGGGTTTGTTATATAAAGCAACCAGTCAAGGTATTATTTTTAACAAATAGGCAAAAAATTAAGTATTTATTATCTTAGTGCATCTCTCAACCCAAGATCCAGTAAGCCCAAGAAACTCCAGTTACTTGAAGTAATTGCACAAACTCCTCTAAGTGACACACCTCAGGCAACAATTTCTCTCTCACATGAAAAACAATCAGACACAGAAATGTCATCTTTTCATGGATAGATAATTTTCCCCTGTACTGAGGTTGACAAAGACTTGCTTTTTTTGTTTTGTGTGTCCTGTTCCCTTGATTATCCCTTGGTAGACAATTCTGGTAGTACAACCATACTTAATAGTTAATCTATTTAACAGCAGATATAATTTCATATTTCACACTGTTTTCTTTTACTTGTTTTCCAAACTGTTTGTATAACCTTGACATCATAAATTGTGAGAGTTCAGATTCCTCAGATATTTTTTCACTTTTATGGCTCTCTGTACAAATAAGCTTGTACATCCCAGAGGTAGTGAAGTAGCTCTGAATTATAAAAGGTTTGTGCAGTGTCATCCCAGGCTTGTGAAGTTTTTGTTACGATGAACTCCTATCCTTTACAGGTTTTATTTTTGCCAATCTGTCATCAGATAATACTGGTGATCTAGTCTTTCTTAATGTACATCATACCCTATTTAAATAAGACACCTAGTTTAATACTTTCAGTTCTTTATTTGGCTTAGCTTAATAGGAGATTTTAGTAGGACTGCCCCATAAGTAATCATGTGGTTTCCTACTGGAGGTATTTTAGTTCCAAATCCTTCTCTTAAGAACAGAGTAGACTTTTTTTCTCTGCAGTCCAATGTGTTCTATGGATGACAGCAACTTAAGTATTTGATTTTTCTGCACACTGTTATGCTTTCCTGTATTTGATGAATGTGAAAATACTTGATCATTTCATAGATATCAGACATGAGATGCTAGCTCTTTACACTTGACAGCCTGTGTAACCAGGCTTCACCTGAATGCCCAGACACTGGGTGTGAAGGGTCAGGCTTGACTAATGCTGTGTGCTAGAGGCAAAGACTAGAAGAGATTAAAAAGTGCACAGCTGCTGGAATAGCAATGAAATAATTAAGGGAATTTAATGGCAGTTGCTTCCATCTTGAAAAGGCTCTAATAATACAGAGAGCTGTGTGAGTTGCCTTCAGAGCAGAAAACTGGCCAGTGAAGGTCTGAAGATCATACACCTGTGTGACTTTTTTCTGCATACCATTATTTTTCCTGGTTAACAGCCATCCTTCTTGTGGCCACAGAAACTCTTCCACTTGAAAGAAAAGATTTTCTAAAACCAGCAGGTTAAGATTCAAAAGGACGAAAATATGCCTGGGATGAGATTGCTCTTTAACAGTCGTGGGCCAAACTGAAGTTACTGGAACTAGACCCTTCTGAAGCTGGGCAGTCCCTGGGGATCTCTGCTGGCTCTCACACAAAGCAAAAAAGTGGAGGGAAGAGACACACATGCTGCAGTCACTCTTTGGTGCTTCTATTGCATTTCTCACCAGAGCTAATACTCCATTTGCCCCAGAGACACTCTTGGATGGTTTGGAGTTTTGTTGATTCTTTCAGGTACAGGCTGATAATCCAAAATGTTTCTACTGTAATAAAAGCTTTTACATTTCAAAGCTATTTTAAGGGAGGACATGGGGGTTATGCAAGTCAATGCTAACATTTACTAGTTCATAGAATATCTGTCAATGCTACAAGGTTGGCTTTTATAGAAGAGGAGAATAAAGCCATGACTGTTCTTTGGAGCCATTAGACTACGATGACCTGTTGTAGCAGTCAGTGCCCTCCGTGTTTTTCAGATGCTAGCACGTATGCACATTATCTCTTCAACGCATTCGACACCGCGCAGAACGGCTCAGTCAAGTTTGAGGTAATTGGTTTGATGCTCCTTTCACAGTTTTGTGGGTTTAAGCTTTTCTATCCATTCTCCATTGTAACCCAGTAGGACCTGGATTACGGGTTGGAGGTCTCAGTCCAAAATCAGCTGATATTTTAAAATCAGGTTCACTTCAGTTTATGCAGGTGGAGTTGCATGTTTCCTTTCACTAAAGAAACCTATGGATTGTGCTGGTATCTCAGGAATAAAGTGCAGAAACTTATGTAGCAGAGAGGAGTGGCCAAGGGCAGTCCCATATGATAAGTGGCACAGCTAATTTGGATGTCAAAGAAAAGCCAGTACATTTTATACCTTCTGCAGTCCTTATGCATTACAAATCATTCAATTATTATAAAGATTGAATCATTATGTTTGTGTGTTCCTGGAATATGGGGGGGTTATGATTATTTGATATATTGAACAAACATCCTGGTACTCGGTACCAAATGGAAGCTACATTCACCCTTTTACTGAAGGGCCTGTTGCTGTAGCTACAAATAGCTGTGCTTCAAGCTCACACACGTGTTGTAGGAGCGCAGCAAAGGGATACGGTAAGACCCAGAGTTGTGGAGGATGAGCTTCATATCTTTGAAAACAGTTTACTGTGATCATACAACTAGAAATCCTAGGCAGTCTTGCCTTTGCTGTCAAATGGCTAAGAACTCGAGTAATCTCCAGGTAAGACTGTGGGAAATTTCTCAAATTTCTTATTCATAAATTGTTCATTTACCAAATGTTAAATGGGAATATTACCATATGTGTATGTGTCTCTGTAGTGACAGCTGCAGCGGGAGCTCTTGCATATGGAAGCTACTCAGTAGTTAAAGGCTTCCTGAAACCTAAACAGACTGAGACACAGGAAAATGCTAAGATAAGCAGTAAAAAAATTTAAAAATTTAAAAAAAAATGCTGAGATTTTCTTCCTGGCAAACCTGTCTCTTCAGTGGTTGTCAAACATAAGCATTTTATCCCCATTTTTGTATTGTTCAGCAAATTCAAATTCCTCTGAGTCTTGGGAAGGAAAAGGTTTCTAACAAGTGATGCACTGCCCCATGCAGAGCTAATGGAGATAACATAGGAGGACTAAGTCCATGAAGTGAGATTTCAGGAACTGTACAGATCTGCTAGCTTGAAGCCCTGCCTGCACTAATAAATCCCTACTTACAGTGCCTGATATATTGTGTGGTATAAACAATAAATCAAAGTTATTGGAAGCAATAACCTTACTGAAAACAAATACAATTAGAATGCTGTATCCCACTGACACAGCTAGTGGTGGGAATCACATCTGGTCAAGTCTGACAGATGTTGTCAGAAAAAAAACAAAACTGAGGTTCCCTGTGTTAGAAGAGCTTGGGATTGCTTCAGCTCTCTGAAGGCAGGCACAGAAAAAAATGCTGGATTTTATTCCTTCTTTGCCAGCACTCCAGATCCAGGGGTACAAAAGCATCAGCTTCTACTTCCACTGTTAGAGTCCAGCTGTGTTTTACCAAGCAGTGGCAATCTGAGTGACAGCTCCTTGGAGCAGACCATTTCTAGGAAGCGAATGGCCACTGGAGTATCTGGCAGTGCTCTTAAAAACCAGACATCTATTTTGCCATGCTGGCGTTTGTGCAGTGTTTAGAGTTTAGAGCATGATAAATTTGGATGGGTAGCAAGGAGGGTGTCCCAGCTTCCAGCCTGGGTGTGCTGTGCTGCTCCTGGCAAGTCTGAGGAGCCAGAGGAGCCACTATTTTATTGACTTGATCTACTTTTATTTTTAACCATGTGCTCTATCCTAAAAATAAGTCTTTTGACTAGGATTGATATAAAGAAGGTGAATTAGAAAAGTATATTGTGAAAATCCACGCTTCTCTGTCTGCCTTGCACCAGGATTTTGTGATGGCACTGTCCATTCTGTTGCGGGGAACTGTTCATGAAAAGCTAAGATGGACATTTAATCTGTACGACATAAATAAGGATGGCTATATAAACAAGGAGGTAAGGCTGTTTCTGACAAATGTGGTTCATTTCTGAAGAGAGCCAACTGGCTTTTGTTGCGGAGCCCAATTAATTTTACATGCAGCTAACTAAATGCAAATCAGACTGGACTTGAGCATTAATCTCTAAGTAAAGTGCACAGCGATCTTGTACTGCATGATTTTGTAGATCTATTTTCCTATCTTATAGTGCCTTTAATGGATTGCTTTAGCCAGGAGCAAAATGCTAGTTACAGCAAGGAACCAGATAAGCTTTGCAAAGGGGAGGGTGATGGAGACAATAGCTACTCAGTGAGGGGAGGGCAGCGGGTTCTGGCTGCACTGGGAGGTATGGTGTGGGCTCTAAAAGCACTAGAAGCCCCTAGCACCACTCCCAAATCCTACAGTATCATCTGGTGTTATCCTCTTCTCTGGTATTGTTTGTTCCGTTTGTGGGAAGCCTTGGTTTTGAGCATGGTAACCTTGAATGTTTTACAAATGCATCCTGGTCTACCTTCTGAAAACAACCGTGTGTACCTGGAGGGTTTGTGGTGACTGCGACCAGTCATGGAATTGTGTGGCAGTTTGTGCAGGGTGTGGAGAAGGGCTGGGTCTCCTGTGGCTGTTGTGGAGGCCCCTGGCCCCAGAGGAGTCTCTGGGACAAGTTCAGTGCCATAGTGCTCAGGACTGAACAAGCCACCTGCAGCCGAGTGCCATCCCCAGCAGCAGCCATGTCCCAGCACAGGTCCTGCGGCGCTGCTCGGCCAGGGGAGGAGCTCCAGCTGCAGCACAGCTGGGTCAGAGGCTGACATGGTCAGGAAGAAGCACTTGGGTTTTACAGATGGACTTGTATACGCTGGTACGTCTGTCGTGCACATGTACAGGCATTCTCCGTACTCTTGCGGAACGGGAAAAGGAGGGTGAAGAGGAGGACAGTCCAAGAAAGAAACGTGCTCTCACTTCAGTTCCTTTCCCTGTTGTGTTTGTGCTGGCATGCCGCTGCTGCAGGAAATGATGGACATCGTAAAGGCCATTTACGATATGATGGGAAAGTACACCTATCCAGTGCTCAAAGAAGATGCACCAAGGCAGCATGTAGAAGTATTCTTCCAGGTACTTCGTTTTTGATGTGTTTTTCCTAACCCTTGAGCTATGCACTGATGTACTTTAAAGTCAGCCCAAAGTTCAATCCTGTGCCACACTCTATATTCCGAAGTAAACCCTAGCAGCCATTCAGCCTAATGCCACAGCGTTGGCTGATCCTGGCTCCAAAGGTATCTCATCTGCCTCTTAGCCCCAGCCTTTGCATCGGGATGTGCCACCTCCAGCCAAGTCTGAAGTCTCTGCATGCGTTCCAGCCCTTCTGTGCTGCTTCTCTCTGCTCCCTGTGAAGAGAGGCAGGAGTATAGATGCTGGCTGGTGAGGCAGAAAATAAACAAATGATGTGAATGAATGAATGAATAAATATTGTAATAAGGGCAGAGGTTGTTGTGTATGTCAAGGAAGGAGTAGTTGGAGATGACCTCAAAAGTGCTCCAAATACCAGAGTAGACAGGTTCTTAGCAGTTGACAAGTTCAACCAATGACACAGAGTCTGTAATCTAAGCCTGTAAACTGCTCTAGGTTTATTCAGGTTGTATCAACTAAGAGATTATATTATAATTGCTGTGTTATCTATAGAAACATTTTTTTTCATTTATTTTGCAGAAAATGGATAAAAACAAGGATGGTGTCGTAACTTTAGATGAATTTATTGAATCATGTCAGGAGGTAAGGACAAAATTATAACTGCAATAGGAGGTCTTGCTTGTGCCACAGAATTTGCATTGCCTTTGGACAAACTCGGTTTGAAATAAGGTGCTGCTCAGGATCCCAGGTTCCTTCTCTCTGTGACAATAACAGCTTTAAGGTTGAGTTTCTGGTGGTGCTCCAAGCAGCCTGTGACTGAATAGTGAAGCAGAGTCAGGCTGATCACAAGAGAGGGCCTCTTTGTTGCCAGTGCTTTTATTTTCCTGAGTGAACTGCAGTACCTGATTCTCCCCCTCTGCTCTCATGAGATCCCACCTGCAGTAGTGTGTCCGGCTCTGGGGACCTCAGAAAAAGACAGACATGGCCCTGCTAGAGCCACTCCACAGGAGACCACAAAGATGATCAGGGGACTGGAGCACCTCTGCTGCGAGGCCAGGCTGGGAGAGTTGGGCTTTTTCAGCCTGGAGAGGAGAAGGCTTCGGGGAGACCTTCTTATGGCCTTCCAGTACATAAAGGGGCCTACAGGCAAGATGGGAAGGGACTTGTTATCAAGGGGAGTGTAGGGATAGGATGAGGGGTAAAGGTTTTAAACTGAAAGTGGGTAGATTTAATTAGATAAAAGGACGGAATTGTTTACTGTAGGGGTGGTGAGACACTAGCATAGGTTGGGCAGAGAAGTCGTGGATGCCCCATCCTCAGAAGTGTTCAAGGCCAGGTTGGATGGGGCTCTGAGCAACCTGGTCTAGTGGGAGGTGTCCCTGCCACTAGATGAACTTTAAGGTCTTCTCCAACCCAAACTATTCTGTGATTCTGTAGACAAGCAGATAACTCTAGAGAAAGCTCATAATGCCCTTAAATTTTCTTAGTTGTGGGGGCTTGGTGTTTTTGGGGGAGGTTTTTTGCTGTGATTTGAGTTTTTTTTGCTTTTAAGAGGCTGCTATTTGTGTGCTGCACCTCGATGCCTTTAGTAGGTTATGTGTTGCTGGAACCGCCCAGAGCTGAAGGTCTCTTAAAATCTTATAATTATAGCACCAATCTCTAAAAACAGTTGATGTTTTCATGGTCAAACATTAAAAGTAAATGCTGTCATTATAAGTAAATACTGAGTGGGGGTTTTGTTCTGTTTTGGAAACAAGCTCCCTCTTGCCAATTCTATACATTAGGTTTGCTGTAATATTCACTGCTATTTTTAGCACTGGCACAAAGACAAGCATCTGCATTAACATGCAATTGGTCAAGTGTCTGTTGTCTTAGGCTGTAATTAATTGTGCATTTGCTCAGAGATAGCTCTAATATTTCATCAGTGCAATAACAGCCTCTGCATTTTAGAAAGTTTACATTAGTGCAAATAATTGCATCCTGTATATTTTACTTTCCCTGGAAAAATCTTTCCTGTTCTACAGCCAGACAGCTCCTCTGTATGTGAGCCATGGGAAGATGTTCATGGTGGAGGGCAAGGGTGGCTTCCTGATGGGTGTGTCTTAGGTCTGGTGCCGGCAACAGCCAGATTACTTCTCAGTCAGGGACAACAGGTGGCAAAGTACTTTTTAGCAAGTGCATAATATAAGGCTATTTTTTTTCCCCAGTTACTTCATTCTTGGTCCCTGCTGATTGTTTTAGCTTATTTTTGGCCTCATCGTTAAATTTGCTTGTTTGTGTTGTGTATTATTCTTGACATTCATAATTTGCCTTCAGGCTGGATGCGTGTGTACAATTAGTGGTCTTAACATGGAAGCAGCTTTACTTCACTTCTGACTGTTAGAGTTTGTTTAATGCTTTGCCCTAGCCTGAGTTTGGTTCCTTCTGTTGACATTCTTGCTCAGGGAGCTGTGCAGACTGGTGCATCGTTGTGGGTGGTTTCCTGGCAGGTAGGAGCGAGCCCTGCAACACTGAGATGTTTAGGGCTTTTTTCTGTATGAGAAACCAAGCAAAGTTCACTGTGGTGCTTCCCTCTGCCATTCCTGAGGATACAGCCTGTGGCCAGTGAACTCCTGGCCTTGCTTTGGAGAGGATGAATGGCTGCCCATGCAAGGTGATACCCTGTACTAGTACCTACCAAAATGTGTTAGAAGCGAGACGGATGGATGCAGTCTCAAGACGGAGAAATGAGATGCAATAGCGCTATTAAGTTGCTCAATGTGAAAAATTATTTTCATGTTACAGGCAAACAGTTACTCTAAATTTCAGAATAACTGAATTTTTGGTTTGAGCTGATGGTATTTCTGGGATGAAGTGGTCCTTCAAGGCAGCTTGCTTATCAGTTCAAAACCTGAAAGTTCATTTGGACTTTTGAAGCGTATTAGCTAATGGTGCATTTGTATATTCAGGATCAATGAAATGCAGCTGGGGGCTGCATTCTGAGGGCTCAGTACAGACCCCACCTCAGTGCTGCTGTCTGGCCTGCGTTGGTAGAGCACAGTCCACGCTGAATGTCAGGCTGGTGAGAAGATCTGTGCTTGCATGCCTCAAACCAGCTAAGGTGCTGCCAGAGTAAGAGACAACTGTTCTGCTGAATCTCATGAATCCCTGAATCGATTCCACTCGCTGAGGATGATGAGCCTGAGGAAAGCGAGGCTGTTGCCTGCAGCAGCAGCTGCAGAGCCCCTCCTGTGTCGTGTTACGAGTCCTGCTTGTCGGTGCCGGGTTAGTGACAGTCTCTTCTGGTTGCTTTCAGGACGACAACATCATGCGATCCTTGCAGCTCTTTGAGAACGTCATGTAGCCGTGTCCGGCGAGCGCTGGAGGAGCCAGACTTACTGTGTAACAAAGTTCTCCTTTCTCGGTGAAAGCTTTTTACGATTCAGCCATGTCAGTGTGTGAGGGTTTTGTATGACATCTCCAACCCAATGGCAACCGAATGCAACCGATCCCAACGCTCTCACCAGGAGATGCTGGTGGACCTTTGTTTCGTTTTGGAAGCATGTGAATATTTTAATAAATCCTGACAAGAGAGAACTGCTCGAAGTTCAATGAGTAATAAACAGCATTGTTTGCTAGGCACAAGTCCTGCTTTTAATCTAGCAAGCTTGATTACATATGATAGCACATGTCGATAGCTTACTCAGCCATCTATTGCAAGCGAAAAGCTCAGTCTGTAATACCATACGGCAAAATGTTTTATGAATGCCTTGCCATTTATCTGCTTTGACAAAAGTCAGACCTACCAGGGCAGTCTGTAAAAAATGAACAGTAAATGTACCTAGGACGTTAAGCAGACAGCCCATGTAGCCAATATCCCCATTTCTGCAGAGATCCTGCTTCTCCTCTCACATGCACTGGTGCCACCACACTGTGTTTGGTGGAGCTTTTCCTGAACAAAATAAGCAGAGGATCTTCATGCCAGGGTGAACCACAAAGGAGCAAAACATGTCTATGATTCTGTGTGTTGCACATATAAATATCAAACTACAGAACAAATCCTGTGCAATGGTGGTAAGTTCTTGCAAGACCAGGCAGGTTTATAAGGGCTGGTACAAGAAGATGAATACCTGCTCTGGTCCTAGTCACCTTCTGCAGGCCCAGCCCATGGTGGGACACCAAGTGATTCTTCAGCATGCATCTCAGCAGCACCATGGTCATGTGCTGTGGTCCTTTTGGGCAGCTTGGCACAGGCTTCCTATGTTCATTGTTTGATTATCTGTATTTTTCCATTGGATGCTACAGTAAAATGTTGCTCTCTTTATGGATTTATTTAAGCTTGCCAGTTTTACTTAGTGCAGAAAAAGGTCCAGATGATGCAGCTGTGTTTCCACATTCCACCTTAGCATCCTCAGAGTGCCCTGTAAGTTTAATTTGGAGCCTACTTACTTGTTATCAGTCTCAGAATCAGCTGCCAGGCCCATACATCCCTTCAGGAAGTTTAACATTTTCTATAGCAAAATCTTTTTTCCTACAAGGTAGTTGCATGACCCGTACAAGTCCCATTTCCTTATTAGTGCCAAACAGAGCATTGGTTTGGGGGTTTGTTTTTTTTTTAATTAGCAAAACAGAATCATGTAGTGAATTTACACCAAGGTTGGATTTTGCCCAGCTGAGGAAGTGTCAGAACCTGCTTTGCAGAGGTCTCTTAAGAAACCCACAACACCAGTGCCATTGCAGTCTCCAAGCTGAGAAGCCAAGGGGAGGAGGTAACAGTCAACTTTTCCAGTTGCTCAGAGCAGACAGAAAAGAGAGTTCCTGCCATAGCACTACATTCCTCCCATCCAGTAAGCATATATTTTTATGATATCAGATACTATATTACAGATGTACTACTAGCAGTGAAGATATATTTTAAAGAGTACATAAGTGGAAACTTTTTATAATGCAAAGTCTGTAGAATGCCTCATTTCTGTAGCCCTATATTTTATAAAAATTTAATCTATTGAAGTTTTCCTAACTCTAGAAGTAGGTCTGCTCAGTACTAGTGTAATGCTGTGCTAATTCCCCGAGGTGGGCCTTTTTCCCCTTCTACTGTGCTCCTCCTCCATACACATCTATGTAGCCTTTACTTCTTTAAGTTGCCTAGTTGTCATCAAAAGTGCTGTTCAGGTGAGTGAAGTTCTGTGTCCACAGGAATGACACACTAGTCTATCCTGATGGTTGCCTTTCTTACAAATACCATTAATTCCTTCCTAGCAGTGATACAGAGCACAGCAACGCAAACCATGTGCTGTGATTCACAGAAGTGATGCAGTGCTGTGAGAGTGGCTTTCTCCTCCACTTATCCAGTATTGTCTATTTAGTTTTTATTTAATAGGCAGGAGTTATAGCTGAAATAATGCACAAAGAATTTACACTATTCTTCCTTGATTCTTTTTTGCAATCACTTTAGCAAATCAGAGAAGTTAATATCATGAATAACCTGCTTTTTTCCTCCACACGAAAAGAGGATCTGTCTGTTATCAGTCAAAGCAGTTAACCTCAGCTGAGGGGGTAAGTGGTCAAGATAATGCAAATAAGCATTTGCATTGGGCTAGCACAGTGCCTTTCTCCTCTAACAGTGTTGGTCCAAGTGTGCTTATGAGATAGCACATAGAGCCTGGAAAGTTTTGCACATACTCTCATCAAAAGGAAACATTAATGGTTTCATGATACCATGGTCCCTGAAGCTAAATGAATTTCTGGAGTCACTGTGATGAATCTGGCCTCAGCCATGTTCTGTCTCCCCACTAGCAGAGCACCACACGGGTGGTTTTGGGGTGCCTGTGTCACAGGGGCTATAAATGCTTTCTGTCGAGCATTGCTCCGGTTTGTGACAAATACTCCAAACATTTGGCTGCTGCTCTCAGTACGTGCTTAAGTGCATTGCTGAAGTTGGGCTCCTGTTAATGACCCTGCAGATCTGGCATCTCCTTTTTGGCTCTGCTGTATAAGTTTTCCTCTCCCAGTAATGACAGATGTGAGTTAGGCAGAGAGGGAGATGCTGAAAGCCACATTGGTCCTGATTTTACCTTGAGCCATAACTACCTTTGATTTCAGTCTCGAAGGAGTCCAAATCCTGCCCATGCATACCAGATGTTCAGCTCTGGGTTGCTACCTCCCTGCCCCACTTGAAGTCCACTGTAGCCAAGGTAGAGGATTTTGCAAAGTGATGGAAAACAGTTGTATTTTCACATAGCTGTAATTGTAAATTCTGCCTGTGGCAGAGTCTTTGCCTTTGTGACCCATTTATCATCCCGTGTTTGTGTCCGCCCCCACTGACACCAGCCAGAGGCTGGTATGCAGCAGGGCAGAGAAGGCCTCTGGGCTGGGTTTTCCACGAGCAGCATGTGTATATGGCATGTGTGCTCCAGCCAGCAGATGATAGAGATCCAGTGACTGTGAGAGAACTGTGCTCTGCATGGAAATGTCTTTGGGTTTGTTTTTTTATGGATTTTGTGAATGTTACTTTGTAAACTTGCAAAGCCTCCCATTGCTCATAAATGGGGCTTGCATTATTTATGGCAAATACGACTACAGCTTTCTGAATAAAACATAGTATGCTATCCTAATCTCATACCCCCATAAATCCTACTGCAAGTATGTGGAAGGTAGTTACTATGCTGGCTTCTAAGTTACAGTTAAACTATCTGTCAGTGCTATCAGCTGTGTAAATTTTCTCAACGTTGTGAATGTTTAAATAATGTCTGAATCAATAGTCCGACTGTTTCATTAGTTACAAACATTAGTCTGCATCTTCATGCCAGCATTTTCTTAAAAAAAAAGCCTTTCTAACATGCATTTTAGGCAACAATCTGTTGAAAAATAGGAATGTGATTAATTATAATGCAAAAAAAAAAGTAATGTGCCTGTTACTGTCGATGTTTGTTTTCCTGTTACTCTAAATGCATTGCAATATTGTGAGCAATCACAAGCCGAGCTATAAACCTAAGGGACGGAGATGCCAAGGGCCAAGCACCGGGGGCAGAACTTTGGCATTGCCTGACTGCGACAGTGAGAACAAGCATCTTTGTGTCCATGTGTGACCTCTGAGAAGATGGTAGCAGCAGTGTAAGAACCCTTTTTTCTTCTACATGGAAGTGCCAGAAAAGACGTAAGGAAATGTGCAAATAATATAACTTGTGATGACTAAAGCCATGTTAACGGAGCAGCAATGCATAGCCTCACTCTTACAAATGCTGATCTCCAACAGCAATTTGTTTTACATTTTGTTGAATTGTTTTTAAAATATCAGTTTTAATAATAAAAAGAACATATCTGTTAGGAGGGTGTCTTTCTTAAACCCAGTAGGTACTTTTTTTCTTAAGGGACACTGTCAGGTTAAAAAAATCTACTGTGTAAGTTTTAAAAGCAGGACTCTTATAAACACATCTATCTACATAGAGGCTGTTAGACTGCTGACCTGTGCTTCTGAGCATGACATTTACTTGCTTATTATTGATTTGCATCACGGATTTGGGGTGCTCTTGTATTTGGTGCAGCGACATACACCTAACTGATAGACTGGTCCTTGTGCAAAGAAGAGTTCAAAAACCACCTACCTTGCATCACTGATAGTATCTTGTAGTAGTAAACGTGGAAAGCTTATGGGCATGTCTTTTCAGCATTTTTGCTTAAGTATAACCAGGAGAACAGGCAATCGAGTTGAATATAAATGAAAACACTATTTTATTTTTGAGGTCAGAAAAATAAAACAAAACCTTGCAGTGTCCCTCTAGCTCTGGTTTGTTGTAAACATCCATTCTGACATATGGAGAAATGCAGGAGAAATTTTGCAAGACTATATATGTGTGTACATATATATTAAAAAAAAGTTGCTGGACTCCATTCTGTTGGGTATAAATGTCTACCCCCCCCATCCCAGGAGAAAGAGCATTCTCTCCCGTACGTGCAGAAAAGTGACAATAAAGGTGTGTGTGTGAAACGTGGTGTTGGTCTCACTGCAGTGCCTAAGCAGGGCGCGCCACTGGGCCCAGCCGTGCCTCGGCTGCGCAGGCAGAGTGAGCGGCCCGGGGACCCCGCCCCCAGGACACCAGCCTGATGGAAGAGACCACGACTCCCCGCGGGAAACGCCAAAGCTGCGGCTTGTCCCTGCCAGAAGGAGGTGTGGAAGCTGCCTGTTCAGTGCCTCCCCCAGCTCTGCACGCCCCCGGCTGCTGCCAGGCGAAGGCTGCTCGGCCTCACCAACACGTGCGTAAGCTCTTGGCTCTTTTTCCAGCGTCAGGTATGCTCGGGTGGCTGTCTCAAGTCTTGGGTACTGCTGTGAGGTGTGAGACACCTCTGCTTTTATTCTCAGCCCGTCACTACTGCAGGCTGAGCATCTCATCATGCTGCCTATGTGTCTGTGGCATTGCATCTGGTGGTTTGAAGGGACAGTGGAGAAGAGGGCAGATGTGCGCTGGCCATGCGGGCTGTCCCCATAGCATCTCTGGGAATGTCCTCCAGGGCTCAGTAGGGTGAAACTGAGGCATGTGCCGTAACTTGGCATATAAAAGAGGTTACTTTTGAATGGAACAATAGCTTTTTATTA